CCTGATGAAATACCACTTTACACCATTAAAATAGCTAAAGTTTAAAAGACTAACAAGAAAAAGAACAATACGCATCTATAAAGGTGTGGAGCTGCAGCTGGAAACGGAGACCTTTACATTGACCTTTGAGAACCACCTACAGCCCTTACAAATTCCAACGAGCACTTACTTAAGAGCCGACAATTGCATTCCTGGGATCTACCCAGAAGAAATGACGGCATATGACACCACGAAGGCCCAGAGCTGATCATTCACAGCCGCTTGAATCATCCGTGGTAGTTACCCAACTCCACGTACACGTCTGAGAGTCACCGAACTGGAGGACACTTCCGTGCTGTGCTGCGGGGCAATCCTGAGGATGGAGCCCGGGCCTCAAACACGCTGGGCAAATAAATGCTCTACCACTGAGCTACACTCCAACTCCTTACACACTCAGAGGGTAAAGTGATTGTGTCTACATTACACCTCAATAAGCCTAACTTAAAACCCAACCCTTCTGAAGCAGTCCCCCCTGACTCTATGGGGGCTCGTCTGAATTCTTCCTCCACACACTTTATTTATTTATTTATTTAAACTCTATTTAAAATGGCATATTTAAGAAGGCGTGTTCCACCTCCCTGGGTCCTTAACACTAAGAACAAGAACTGGTAGAAAACACAGGACCACTCAAGCAACCTAACTAATTTTTTATTCATCCTAATTCACCTTGGTTTCTTTCTCTAAAACAGTGATTTTCATAATAACTGATGTCTCATGTATGCTGCTACCTCTATTTCAGAGACAAGGCTGGGCTCCCTATACTGATACCAACTTTCTGGTTGGCTCAAAAAACACTATACCTGTGCTCTGCCATCCCAGTGTGCTTCCTAGTACAGTCAACTTTCTAAGAAGAGTCCTGAATGCTAACTGACATAAGCTCAAATCAGACATGAGCACAGTACAGTATTTTAAGAGCACCAGTGAAGGCGTGTGTGAATTAGGAAGCAGAAGGAAGCCACCACTGCCAAAGTCTCCCCTGCAGGCCTGGAACCATGTCACAACAGCGTTAAGAAGTACCACTTCCACAAAACACAGACACTCACAAAAGACAGACAACCAAGCATCCACCACGTGCCTCTAGCCAACCTGAGTGAGAAGAGGAAGACTCTAAACTGAACGTCACTATCGGACAAGTTCTAATCAGGCAGGTCTAAGGGCTAAGGTGTAGCTGGGTGCTAAAATATGCACGAATTCCAAGTTACTCCAAAGCAGACTTCTAAAAGACCAGCAGTAAAATGTTAACAAAAATGAGAAGGTTCAGAGAGATGAAACCATTTTACGAGAGGAGAAGTCAGTTAAGGAAGAGTTGTATTAGAAGCATTGTCTGGTCACTGCAGAACAACACAAAATAAAAATCTGGCAAGAACATGACCTCACACGTGTGTGGAACCTAGAAGACTTGGACTCATGGAAGCAGAGAGAACGGTAATCTTCAGGGGCTGGGACCTGTGGTGTTGTGTTCCCCGAAATATTGAGCATGCTAATAAACTTATCTGGGGTCAGAGGACAGAACAGCCACAATATTAGACATAGAGGATAGGCAGTGGTAGCACACGCCTTTGATCCTAGCATTCCAGAGGCAGAGATCCTTCTGGATCTCTGTGAGTTCAAGGCCACATTGGAAAGAGCCAGGCATGATGACACACGCCTTTAATCCTAGCATTCCAGAGGCAGAGATCTATCTACCTAGATCTCTGTGTGTTCAAGAATACAGCCAGGCATGGTGACTCACGCCTTTAATCCCAGAAAGCGAGCCTTTAATCCCAGGGAGTGATGGCAGAAAGCAGAAAGGTATATAAGGCGTGAAGACCAGAAACTCGAAGCTTTTGGCTGGCTAAGCTTTTAGGCTTTTGAGCAACAGTTCAGCTGAGATTCATTCTGGATGAAGAATGAGAGGCTTCCAAGCTTTTAGATGGTTAAGCTTTCAGGCTTTGGAGCAGCAGTTCAGCTGAAATTCATTCTGGATGAGGACTCAGAGGTTTCCAGTCTGAGGAAACAAGATCAGCTGAGGAATTGGCAAGGTGAGGTAGCTGTGGCTTATTCTGCTTCTCTGATCTTCCAGCATTCACCACAATACCTGGCTCCAGGTTTGATTTTATTAATAAGACTATTTAAGATTCCTGCTACAGGGACCGGGTGAGGCACAGGTGTGTAATCAAAGAATGAAGTTTCAGTTAGAAACATTGAGAGATCCATTGTGGGGCTAGGCCTGCAGCTCAGTGGTAGAGCAGTTCCAGCTTGTGAAAGACCCAAAAAACAAAATATACAATAAATAAATGATCAAATAAAAATTAAAGTATAGTAAGCACACTGAGTATGGGGATTTTTCAATGCCGAGAAAAGAACAGACTTAAATTGTTCCTTTCAAAAGAAGCATCAGAATGTACACACTCAACAAATATTACCAAAGCATTAGGGAAATTTATAAACAACCTACAGCTAACATTTAAGGGTAACTTTAGTAACAGGGGTACCACAAGAGAGAACTGGTTTTTATTCCAATGAGGAGCAGAGGGCTGGTTGGCAGGGCCACTCAGACATGCCACTGTGGCCCAGCATGAGGAGTTTCTATGGTGGACAGATCTGAGTCCACATCTTAGCTTCAACCTACTAACTGGTCTTAAGTATTTTCTTAAACTCTCTCAATCTCCCACTTCCTGGTGGAAAAATAAAGCCAAAAATATCAACCTTCACAAAGTTGCTCTAAACATTAATTATAATGACCTTTATATGAGACAGCAAATAGATTTTGTATCATATGCAATTCTGGTAAACTTCTGGCTGCGTTCTGGAGCTATTAGAAAGGATGATGGAAGCCGGGTGGTGGTGGTGCACACCTTTATTCGCAGCACTCAGGAGGCAGAAGCAGATGGATCTCTGAGTTCGAGGCCAGCCTGGTCTACAGAGTAAGTTCCAGGACAGTCGGGGCTACACAGAGAAACTTTGTTTTGAAAAACAAAAAATAAATAGAAAGGAAAGAAGGAAGATAGATTCATAAACAGATAGAGAGATAGAGAGATAGAAAGATAGATAGGTAGATAGATAGATAGATAGATAGATAGATAGATAGATAGATAGATAGATAGATAGATAGAAGATAGATGATAGATAGATAGGTAGATAGATAACAGGAGAGTTCAAGAACAAGGAACATCAGTCACAGGGTAACAAAGGCAAGTGACAGGACCAGCACGAAAGGCTCATCTGTCACCTCTACTCAGCACAGCAGCGGCTCTTCCTACTTGTGGAATGACCCACATCTACTGGTTGGAAGGGAGGTGTTTAATGGGGTGCTCTTTGTGTTCACCTAACAAGGCCAAGGCAGAATGAGTGAGGAAAAAAACACATCCTTCTCAGACACACATACACACACACACACACACACACACGCACGCACGCACGCACGCACGCACGCACGCACGCACACGCAAACGCGCGCACACACACACACATGCACACTTAGGGTGCTTCTGCCTGAGTTTCCAAAGCTCAAGCTCCTTTGTGCTTGTGTCTGTTACCTGAGACGTCTTACTCTATAGCCCAGGATGACCTGAAACTCACCGGGACTGGCCTCAATGGCCTCAAACTCGCTGCAACCCTAGCTCAGCCTCCCTGGGCTGGGATCACAGGAGGGAGCCACCACACCTCACTAACTCAAATGTAACAATGTAAGCAACTTTGTGGACACAGTATCACAAGCCTTGTTCGCTCTTGTCCTGGTTCTGTCACAAGGCTCTGGCCAGGCCAGAACTCCCTGTGTAGACCAGGAAGGCTCTGGCTAGGCCAGAACTCCCTGTGTAGACCAAGAAGGCTCTGGCTAGGCCAGAACTCCGTGTAGACCAGGCCCAACTCCAATTCGCTCATCCCTCCTGCCTGTACCTCCTGAGTGCTGGGATTACAGGCACGCGTCACTATGCCTGGCAAGTTACTTTTTTTTCCTTGCACTAATTTAATTTTTTACTTTTATCTTTTCTATTGGCATCATTTATAACTGAAAATGTACAGAGAAGAGACTCCCTAGAAAAGCTAGATAATTTGCAGAGGACAACCTTGGAAATCTCACTCTGAAAATTACCTGTTGACCCAAGTACTTCAGCCCATCCAAGTAGACTTTCCACTCGATCAGGAGCTGATAGGCGTCCTCCTTTCCACCCCAAATCTTCACCACAAAGCAGGACACTGATGTATCCAGACGGTCCGGCATTATTCCAAAGTCAAGACTTCTCCATGTCGGATTCTGTGGGTGGAAATTAAAACACACTTTAAGAAGACTCTAACTTCTTTTACACGAATTTTGATTAGATGGTATATCATTTTGTTTTTAAAAACCAAAAGAAGGGCCGGTGAAATGGCTCAGTGGTTAAGAGCACTGGCTGCTCTTCCAGAGGACCCACGCTTGACTACCAGCACCTACAAGGCAACGCACAACTGCCTATAGTTCCAGTTCCAGGGGATCTGATGCCTCCTTCCGGCTTCTGCAAGCCCCAGGCACACAAATGCTATGCAGACAAAACACCAACATACTTAAAAACCTAAAATAAAAGATAAAGACCGGAAGCTGGCAGGATGGCTCAGTGGGTAAGAGCATTTGCTGCCAGGCCTGACAATCTGAGTTCGATCCCCAGAACCCACGTGACAGAGAAAAGCCCCAACTCCTGCAAGCTGTCCTTTGATATGCACCTGGCATGCTCAGAGCCCTGCTCCCTGGCACAGACAAAACAGACACTTGTTTTAAAAGACAAACGGTATTATAAATAGATACAACCATGCAATTAATGAAGTACAGTGACAAGGACCCTCTGGATTTATCTGCTGACTCAGTCACTCTCACTCTCACTAACATGGTTTCATCCGATACTTTCACTCGTTTATTCAACACAAAGCATGATTATTAGAAGCCAACATGCAGACTGATACAGACACACAGCTAGTCAACGTGCAGGGCATAAGAGCTGGTGGAGTGCCCAGCTGAGCCAACCATACAGCATCCCCCACCTCCAAGGCTCAGGAATTACCAAGGAAGAAGGGGTGGAGAGACTGTGAGGGGCAAAGGGAGTGGACATCTGCAGTCCAACAGTATTTGCCAAGCATCAGGACCATGGCGCATGTGAACTCACGGTGCTGTGACTGTGTGCACAAGACTTCCCAAGATCAAGCTAGCCAATTCCCAGCACAGATGGGGAAGGGCACTCCCTAAGTTCCACCCCTGGCTGAGGACTTAGGCAGCTGGAGGAGGGAGAATCAGTTTTCTTCAAGGACAGGGAAGGAACTGAAGGAGAGGTAAAGGGGTGGGGTGATCAAACCACACAGCCTACATGCATGCATGCAATTCACCAACAATGAAAAGGGGGGCAGCATATAAGCAATGCCCTCCAGGCCCTCCAATCAAATCTCCTCTTAAAACAACTGTATCACTGGAGTGCAGCCCAAGAGCAGAGTGATTGCCTGGCAAGTGCAGTCACTGGGTTCAATTCCCAGTACCACATAAACAAAAATAATTACACTGGAACAATGGGGAGTTCAGTGACAGAAGTATGCTAAAAGTTACCCAGCGGCCGGAAGAAACCACCAACTCTAACCAACAGGAAGACATCAGAGCCTGTGAGAGCTTGGCTTCGAAAGCACAAACAGAATTTCAGCAGACTACGATCGGGAACTCCAGCAAAGGGACCATGATACACCGGGGCTCACATGTGGGAGGCAGCAAGTGTGAGCAGGGAAGGAAGAGCAGCTGCCCAGGAGCGGCAGGCCGCAGCTGGGGAGAGTCGGGAAGCAAAGGGAAGGCTTCCAGGCCTGTGCGCTGGGGGAGGAGCCCGAGCTCCGTCACCATCACCTGGCTTCTCTTCTCCTCTCACTAGCAAGCGGTCTCTACCACGCTGCTTAAGCTTCATGATGCCTTGCCAAGTGATAGTGTTTCGGTTTTTATGACTGATGATTCTGAGACAGAGTGGATTGTGGGATTTAGCAGTGTGGCCTAATGATGCACTTTCCACTGCACCACCTTCTGCTCTCTTCACTGACAGGAAGTTAAATGACTCTCGCTGCCATTCCACAGCCTGTGGTCTGGGCTGACTGATGCTAATTGGAACCCACATATCTAGCGTTACCTCTCTGCAGAGCTCAGTGGTTAGTCAGTGATTACTCAGCCTTTGTGTTCCAATACCTCAAGCCAGCCACCCCTGCCAACAGAATGATGATGTGCAAACAAGAGACAACTAAGTGACTGACTGACAGCCAAGGTTACACTAGTTCAAGACTAAAGGAGCCACTGCAGACAAGCCGGGAGGAGCTGGTCCTCGCCAGTCGCCTCAGCTCATCTAGAGCTTGAGAACTCTGCAGGAGAGTTCTCTGCCAACTCACTAGTTCTGGAGCTTGAGACTATGCCCCCCTCTGCCCCCCAACCTCCCCCA